AAAAAAAAAAAAAAAAAAAAAAAAAAGGCATATTTGCTCGCAAATGCAATATCATAACCACTTCCAGAGGCTCCGCAATATCATAACCACTTCCAGAGGCTCCCCATCAAGAGATCGAAGATTTTAAGATTAGAAAAAAAAGAAAAAGAAAAAGAAAAAAGACAAGGACATACAAATGATAATTTTGATAAAAAGACAATAAATAAAAAGCATCTAGGCCAGTTCCTGTGTTCTATGCTTAACTGCTTCGTAAATTGATTGTGTGATCTTTTGTTTCAGCAAGGGGCTGGGGCCTTCTCCCGGGATCTCCACTCGCCGGATGCTGTGATAAGCATGTAGGTAGTCTATAATCGAGGCAGCTTCATTCAACTTTCCCGAGTACCAGTGAGGATAATCTTTGTAACGAGCCGATACGTACTTCATAGCCGGCACCACCTTAACCTTGTTGAAGTCAACGCCATAGCTGAGGACCACATCTATCTTGACTATCATCAGCTCATCCTTGATCTTATCCAACTCCCCCGAGCGCCAGATTCGCTGGACCAGGTCTTCGACCTGAACACTAAATGCACACCACCTTGCAGTATACAAAACCACAACATCCTTCTTCGTCCGCTTAAGGTACCTCTGGAATTTCTCCTCGTCCACTTCCTTTATCTCCTCATCAATGAGCTCCAGCCGTTGTTTCTCCGCCGTCGCAAACTCGTCGTACTGCTCAACATCGTGATCCTCGAATGGTCGAGAGGCCCCCGCTCCTGCAGCACGCCACGTGCCTCCTTCTCCATCTCTCGTTCTCGATAAAGAAGAAGAAGCGGAGGAGGAGGAGGAGGAGGAGGAGGAGGAGAAGGAGGAAGCAGGAGGCTTTGAAGTCCTAGAGAGCTTGTACTGCTGCATTTGCAGACTGCAGGTAGCAGAGAAAGAAGGTGTATTGGAGAGAAAGTCGTCAACAAATTTTTGTACCCGCTCCGTAGTGATGTCCAACATCTGGTTGAATCCGCAAGAGTGGGCCTTATCAGCCGATCGAATAGCCATAGCTGGAATTCGAAAGAAGCTGAGTCCAGTGTTGCGTAGGATCATTCGGTTGTTCTCCTCTGTGGCCCTATCGTCCACAGTGACTATACTTAGCCGCGATTGCAACTTCACTGCAGCTTTCTCGACGGCTAGCACTGTGGCGTTCTGCTTCTCTTGTTCCGCTTCCTCCTCCGTGTCTATGTCTATAAATAGATACAGACTTGGTCGGTTACGTCGGTTGTATCGGTAGTAGGTGAGCATCGAGAGATGGCCGACCAGTGGGAAAGCTGTTTCGTTAATCCAGGACGTCAACGCTTTTTGATCTGTGGCATTGTTGCCCCTGTAAAGCAGAGTGACGTTGTGCTTGAGCAAGATGAAAATGGCGGGAAGCTTGGAGACATCGAACTGCTCAGCGATGTCAGCGCTGGCGGCGGTGTTGTTGGTGGCAGCGAAGAGGTTATGGGACCTCAAGGTCGATGCTACCGACTTGAACACTTTGGCAGCGGGCTCATTTCGGCTGGAAAATAGCCCCACAACCACCACCCCCTTAGACTTCAAGAAGGGGTCCAAATCACAAAGCTGGGAGAAGTAGGTGACCAACGGATAAAGCTGCATTTCCAAAAAAGGAATCAAGACGGACGCGTGGCGAAACCCCCTCAAGTCTTCTGTCACCCACTTCACTTCTTTCCCGTTTCGGTACAGCAGCAACGTCGGTGTCTCCCTAATCCTAGTGCCTTGGACTACCACGCTTCCGATACCCCTAGAGTCAATTTTTACCACGGTCAATCGATCTTTTAACCGCTCCGCCACTTTATCTAACTCTGGGGCTAACTGTTGGCAGTAATAGCACTCAGGGGTGTAGAACTCCACCAGCAGAGGCTTTCTGTGGGTGGAGATTATATTCTCCAAGGCACTGTAGTGAATATCGACCGCCTTGCCTCTCGCGAAGATCGTTGACGTCAACAATAAGAACCAACTGCATAAGAAACCCATGCGTGAGAGGAAGGGGACGAGGTGATGCTTATGTCTCCCCCCCCCTGCCCACCATCTCCCACCTCCCAAGGCCCTACCATATCCACTATAGCCGTGAGGGTCCCCCAAGACGCCATAACCGCCGTTACTCCCGTAGGCGCTTCGACCATGCACTCGTTCGATGTTAGAATTGGTTGGCCTCGTGTCCTCCTCCTCCTCCTCCTCCTCCTCCTCTCCCTCCTCCTCTTCCTCCTCTTTCTCCTCTTCCTCCTCTTTCCTACTTGTAGTGGGTATCGTTGGTGGGTTGGATTGCCGCAAGGTTGTTGCCGCAACGTACCATCTGCAGCAGGTACAGCGAGCCCTCTCAAGCCCAGGACAACGTAGCGCAGGCATTGATAAGAGGTCTCGTCTATTCCTTCCGCCTGCCGATACTATTGGATCCATTCTCTGCTTCCCGATCCCGACTGCCTCAAGTCGCAACGAAGTCGTCAATCTGGGCCGACCTTCCTAACTTTCCTCTTACGTTACCCCTCACTCCAACTCTCTCTCTCTCTCTCTCTCTCTCTCTCTCTCTCTCTCTCTCTCTCTCTCTCTCTCTNCTCTCTCTCTCTCTCTCTCTCTCTCTCTCTCTCTCTCTCTCTGTGTGTGTGTGTGTGTGTGTGTGCGTGTGTGTGTGTGTGTGTGTGTGTGTGTGCGTGTGTGTGTGTGTGTGTGTGCGCGCGCACATGCAAGCTGCCTTCGGCTCGTGCCACTCTTTGTCTGCCAGTTTGTGTCCCTGGCGTTCTCCCTCACGTCTTTCACTTCATTTCGGTCATTCGATCCTCAACCCCACAACCGTACTAAGAGACTGAGGGCGTACTCACACCTGTACTTTTCTGGATGTATATCTGATAGTAATTACAGCCCGGCGTGGGTGCATCTGACCGCAATTACGTCCAGCAATGAGTGAAAACAGTCCTGGTGTGAGTATGCACTTTTCCAATCCCAGCAAGTTTCCTCATTCTCCACAGATCGCCCCAGACGAAAGTTTTTGTAGACGTCTTTTCCCCACGGCGAGGCTGTCTGTGGTGGTCGAAGACCGTGCCAGGGCCAAAGGCGGGTATCATCCACATTGCAGCGCAACTAATGGCCAGGCCCCGCTGGTGCGGCGTCCGCGCTAAGAAGGCATGAATTCTGGTCGCAAGAAATTATCATCTTTGTGCGAGCCTACCCGGTAGTACGCGCGTGGCGCCGGTTGGAAACGCACATTCGCGCACATTCATCACATCGTTCCCCCAGGCCATGGCCACCACTCCTCCGCGCCCAAGCGATCGTAAAGTCTCTCTTTTCCTCACGCAGACACAGTGCATTGTGTGCGAGGCCAGAACAGTTGCCCCTCATCCTCAGACGAGGCTCCACCGCATTGCCCCTCATCAGAGAAGGCTCCATCGCATCACCGTCACAGGGCATACTCACGGAGGACTTTTCCCACTTCTCTAAGGACGTAATCGAGGCCAGGTGCATGCAATCTCGGTCGGAAAAGCAGTCAATATACGTCTAGGAAAGTCCGGCTACCGGGTAGTGTGAGCATGCCCACAGTTCCGAGATTAGACAGGGAGCGCACACGTGGGCACGGTCATATGCCGTCAATCACGCGCCGATGTACGTAGTCGAGGTCACATAGACCCATCCCCGCACCACTCACCAAACGCAAAACAGACAAAAACTAAGCCGGAGGTCTATAGATGCAGGAAGGAACGTGAAACCGCACAGCGCCTGTGGTGGTGGGGGTGGGGCTGTAATGAATCGCGGAGGATCTGCATGCGGTGGAGTTACCATTTATTCTGTCCATTTGATTGCATCTGGATTCGAACTTGGGTCTGTATTTGGGTGTGGGTGGGGGAGTCCTCGGGGACAACCGTCAAAATTGGAACCATAAAGAGAAACAAAAATGCGGGCGTGTCCTTCGGGACATCTGTTTTTTTTTTGTTTTTTTTTTTGTGGAAAAATCCAATTGTTTATTGAAATTCGCAGCCAGGAGGCTGCGCTATACCCGGTTGCATTTTGTCGCCTAGCGGCGCGGCCTTTTTAGGAAATGTCGACGACGTCTAACCGGGTCTAACGGGGTTTATTGGGCGTGGAGAAGGTACACGGTCGTTGTCGGGGCAGAGACCGGTCGGTGAAGCGGTAGGCCTAGAGCTTTGAAAGCGGGCTACCAATGGTCTGTCCGGTGGTGTTGGCAGGCGCCGCCCGGGTTTGGGTTTGGGTCGTTTTTTAGGTTCCCTCCATGCAGCGTCGGTTTACCTCTTCGACTCTGGGCGTCAAGCGTCTGGAGCCGGTGTCGGAAGAGGCGTTCATGCAGAGGAGCGGACAACGATGCAGATGACGACGGCAGCGGCTACCCTTCTCCTTCTTCTTGCTCCTTCCAGCTCATTCACTCTCTCTCTCTCTCTCTCTCTCTCTCTCTCTCTCTCTCTCTCTCTCTCTCTC